ATAAGTATACAACAAAGAGTGAATATTAAATTTATTCGCGATATCATTAATGAAAAGAACAAAAAAAGTGGGCCAAGTATCGGACCTTGAGGCACAACAAACTGAACGCGATGGGAAAGGTGTGACTTCATCAAATATGAGATATCTAATTTATTGAATCAAAGCCTCAGGTCATGCCGCTCAGGGATAACTAGACTTTTTCTGTAAAAAGAAATGTGTTCGCGAATAAGAATTTGAAATAGTTTGGAAGCAGTGCATAAAATAACAATAGGTTTCGTTTGTTTGTTTTTCTAAAATAGGACAAACACGACACTGCTCCCATAAATCAGGAAAGGTATTTAATGCCAGGATTTGAATGAAGATTAAGGATAATGGTTTAGAACATAAGATAACAGAGTCCCTTATAATAAAGGCCCTGAAGGCATTTACTGTATTTTGCGGATTATCATAGTTTGAACGATTGTAAGACACAGACGAGGATATAATAGGATACCAATTTCGCATGATTTCCGTCCCACTATATTTTTTTTGGAAGTTCTTACAAACAACTGCGGTGGCTGCACAAGCATATCGTAAGTCCCCAATAAAACCATTGGCAATTCCTCCCTAAATTCCTCCTTTGACAATAAATTTCCTCACATATTAAGGTCAACAATTTAAATTGGGACTCTTCATCAAAGAAGCTTAGTTCGTCGTTGCTTCTTTGATCCCGATATATCGGTCCTGTCCGATGGGATTATTTAGAATTGTTTCCTCTACTCCCTTTCTTAAGGAGACGTTTATTTGAGGATCCGAAAGTAAGATAAAGCGATAAAGAGCCCTGTATTAAATGCTTATCGTTCTGATGTTGGTAGTCGCAAGGCCTCTAAGGTGGCCGCTGAGAGATACAGCGTTCTTGGTAAGTCAGAGACAGATGCAGTTGACATAAATAAGGGTTTGTTTAATAAACTGTATCCCGGAAAGATCTTGTTTTCGTGATATAAGGCGCTAAATCGGAATTTGTACTTACAAAGTACCATATTTTTAGGTACAAAATAGTCCATCCACCAATGGAGCTTTTGGTTTTCGAGATATCAACTTGACGAGTTTTAGACGTAGCACCCTGTACATATTCATTGGTGGGCGACCCTCCTGCATTGATTTGATACTGTCGATTTCAATAGAGAATCGCCGATAATATTTACTGTTTACACGGATTTGAATTGGTAAAATGTACAGTTCAATGTTGGTTGACAAACAAAGTAGATAATAAAGTTTAATCAGTGATTCCGCCGCAATTTATCATTTCTAGATGGCTTAAATTGGCCAATTATGCCCTATATCTTGTTCAGAACAGCAGCTGAGCTTGAATTATTCATTGTGTTCATGTTTGGATAAAAAATAACTGCTACGTGGGCTGAAGCAGGTTTAAATTCCCACAGCTGTAATTATTTGGAACTGAATCAGATTTATAGGATATTAAGTATATGAAATGTTTCGGAAAAATGATAGAACTTCTTCAGGACATTTAAATATTTATTTTACAGAATAATATTTCGTATGTTCTTGTACCGCTCTTTTGAACGACCTCGTTTCCGGACCAAATTTCAATACGGCGAAGCTGGAGTAAATGTATTTAATTAATTATAATCCCAACAGACCAAATATTAAGGGCCACTTGCAGGCTTCTACTAAAATTTTCCTTAAATAAGATTTAGAAAAGTATTTTAATATTCTTATAGAGATAAATTAAATGTTTCCCGAATCCCACTTCTGAAGAAGGCAAATAAACGTTATTATCTTTTTTATTAAATAATTATTAACAAATTCCATGTAGAAAAAAGCTGTAGTTACATGAAATGCACTTGATATAATTTATCAAAAATTTTTCCTTTAGCGGGTTGTTGACAAGGAACAATTATCGTTTAAATTCTAATATTGGAGGTTTTAATAAAAGACGTAATTCTTGTTCACTTAAAAAAATTAATTTCAGTATGCTTTAATGGAAATGTAAGAAGTCACATTTTCAGTTATTCTCATCGGTTTATCAAAAGCAAGAAAGAGAAAAATTGAAAGCTGATATTAGTCTTGAATTTTTTAATCGGAGAAGGTAAAATAACCAGAAAATTTCATTTGAATTTGTCGATTAGACTCTTTTAATGTGACGTCACTACTAAAAAGGTCTATTGAATAATTGTGTAATACTTAAAATGCATAATAATTAGTATCTATTTTCAAAAAATATTATGTACAGAAAAATAGAAACGTAAATTGTGAAAATATGTGAAAATTGTAAGTTTCTGTTCAAGCCATTTCTTTTTCTGTCTTGCGCCCTGCTTTATAAGCTCATTGCGTAAAAAAGATGATTAAGAACGGACAAAAAAATCTCAATTTGCTTAAACGAAGTTGGCTTAGATTTTTCCTGTGAAGTTTAATCCTTGTAATTTTCAAACTTTTCAAAGCTAAACGAATTACTAATACCCCATTAAATGCAAACTCCAGAAATTCGAATCTACCCGTAGGTTATTTAACAAATTATCGAACTTTTAATTTTTTCACTTCCGCAAATTATAAATCAAAACTTTTTTCCGCAGGTGCCCCTGTGATCGATTATCTTTCAGTTTTAGAGGTTATGTCAATATAAACTCATAATTTTACTTCCAGGAGATATTTCAAGTCGATGCTTAAAATACAGGCTAGCCCAATAATTATAACCAAGGTTACACAAAAATTGTATTGTCTATGTGTATAAGCCTGCAATTCATTTTATTTCTGATTTCACTGTCAGTATCATCGCCTTTGTTAGTAATAAATACCTCTGTGGTATTCGTAATACGAATGTTTTAACATGTGAAACACAATTTTTCCAGCTAATCACAGCCTAAAAAAAAATGAAGGAACAAAAAGATATGTTTGTGTACCGTGTTTTTGTACTAATTATATTTAGACATAATTTTTAGTTTCTATTTTGGATACTTATTTTATTACTAGCTATTTGCCGGATATTTTTATGTTACTCAATGCTAGTAATTGTAAAAATATCTAAGCACCAAGAACTATTACTTATAGACATTTTACTTACCTCAGACTTTATTTATAACGAAATTTAAGTTTAACTTAATTTCCCCTTCCCCTTAATTTACCGTTAGCAATTATTTGGACCACCTGGTATTGTGGAATGGGATCACGTCTTTAGAAAAGCGATATTTTCTAAATAGGATGGCAAATGGTGAGGACTTGCCTCGTCGTAGATTGTTTTAAAATGGGTTTTAAATATAAAGTAAGTTCGAACTTTGCCGAAGTGATTTACGGCAAGAGCAATTTTCTGACGAAGTTTGTTGAACTTGGGTAACAGCGCAAAGTGTCTGAGTCCTGTGGAATCGGTTAGGTTTTGGGGTCGAGAGAGAATTTAATTAATTGGTTTAGAGTTTATTTATTTCTCACTAGCAGACTAGAATATTGTTAAAAGGAGTTAATTAATTTTTTTCATTTATATTTTCTATCGATTTAGAGATATTTATGTATGTGTCTCTTTGTGATTAAATCCAGTGTGCTGTAAGTTTGCACTCAAGCGGCTAGTCATTACTGTTGGCCGTTGTTGGTACTGCCAATCTAGCAACATAGTAAGGTATGAAAAGTTTTCAGGAAAACTTTTTGGTTGAAGCATTTTGAGAAATACTACAAGTAAATAGTTATGCTATTTAATTACTTTATTTTGTAAATGTTTAATTTCTGTATAAAATTTAATACACAAATTCACTAATGTAAAATATTAATATGCAAAACATAGGAGAATGCAATTAGTCTTTATTTCTGTTTCATACATTTCAAAAACTGTAGCAGACAAAACATGTTTACAACAAAAAGTTCCTGGAAATCCAGTCATTAAACAATTCGTAGAAACAGCAGTCAAAATAAATGCATATCTGCAAATAAATATTCACAACTCTCCCTACGAACTGAATTTTTCTCTGTTTGCAATATTTTGTTGCAAATTAACACAAAATATAATACAAATTTCCGTATTTCCCTCCCCTTGGAGCCCATCCCCAAAGACTTCAAATGAACCCTTCTCAACGCAAATAAGTCCTCTGCAAACCTTGGGTCCAAATAACTCATATTTCCTGGCCTTCTATTCAATCTTGTGTTGCTTGCGAAATATTCTCCATTTCAAATAGACGAGCAAATGTTGTCTTCATGAAATATTTACATTCCCCGGATGGACAAATTGTGCCAAAGTAGAAGTCCATAAATATCGCCTCCTCCAGACATGTGAAGTGAGGATATGTTCTGCGCTCGTTCAAATTGATATCAGAGTATACCGGGTGCTAGAGGAATAATTGTCTTAAATTTAACAGGCAGTTATTCTTCTACTTCCGCAAATAAAACATACATTCACAATAATACGAAGAAACATGTTTGGGACCGCTGACTTCGTCGATAGCTCGGCTGGGTTTATTTATTTTATCGTTATAGTCATACAGGACCTTTTGGAAATAGTTTTTATGCAAAGTTCTATACTAATGTCGAAATAAGATTTATTTTACCAACGTTTTTTATATAAAAGTTTTGTAATAAATTCAGATCCGTCGAGGAAATCTGTACGGAACCTTTAAATAGACAGGAGCCGGTAAAACCTCTGCGCATAAGTTAGAAAAAGAGGAAGTCGTTTGAGTTCAATAAAAAAACGCTTAAGTTGTTCTCAACTTGCTTTCGATACACTTTTAAAAACATCAATTAAAGTGATACATCGCCGTTTCGCTATTTAAAATCAATCGTATTTTCCTTCGCTATTAACATTTTCCTTAATTCTGTTCCAGGTCAAGGGGACAATGAGCAGCAGTTAGAACAATACGCGATCGTTCATCAAAATGTCAGTGGGAGACAAGAGAGTTAATATAACCCTGGAAAACTTACCAGAAGAAGCCATAGAGGAAAATAGTGCTGTGGCTGTGACCGAAGTTCTTACATTCGTGACGAATCTGGAAATTTTCGTACCAACCGGAACGGTTATCTTAAATATGTCGAATTATACGAGGACGATTCACAAACATAGTGAGAGTGTGTTCGAGAGTAAACTCATCATTCCGCTTTATCTGATTATTTTTGTGCTGGCAGTGTTGGGGAACACTTTAGTGCTTGTAACGCTCGTGAGAAACAAGAGAATGAGGACAGTTACCAACGTCTATTTGCTGAATTTAGTAAGTATTGTATATAGAAAGAGAGTTTTATTACAATTCTGATTCAACAATTTTTTTGGAATATACGTTTCAGTAGAGCGATATTTAAATAAAATAATCTCTTGTATATAGAAATTACCGACAAATTACCCGCTTTTATTAAAAAAAAACAGATAATGAAAACAAAACATAAATCCTCTGTAGTTCTTTGATCACAACACAGTTTTGTAGGGTTTTACTTAAATTAACGAGCAAAAATGTCCAGTTTCATGCAACGAATTATCCTGCTTCAAACGAAGCCTTAATCTCCACATAGAATTTAACCCGGTCCCTTTTTAAACGAAACTTCTCACACGCTAATACATTGAATTGAACTTGGAGTAAATGTGACTGAAATCGATATATTCGCTTCCAGAAATTAAGGGATATTAGTAAATTTCTCGCAACGGGTTTGAAACTTTCTAAGAAACTTTACGAAGCGTGCACCTTCCCTCACAACAGAAAACTACGAGACTTATATTACCTCTCTAGCGTCTAGATGTTGCCTAGCACAATGGAAAACAATTATTTATAGGCTATCTGAATCAAAAACCGTATTGTTTAGTTAATTCCAACATAAATAGGGTCATCAATAACCTGTCCGTAGACATATAAGCATTGTTCTATTGTACTGGATAAATTAGTTATCTGAAGCCAATTAAATTTAATCTGGCTGGTTCACATTGATGCATTAGGTAATGGTAGTGACCAAATTTTGCTATGTTAAAATGGAAAAGAAATAAGTTATTTATCTCAGCATAGTAATTTGTATTACGATAGTAGTACTAGTTATTAAAACCACTGCTAGATGTCAGCAATCGCGTCTCACTGATACGACTATCTCCTAACTTATACAGGGTGTGGCGTGTATAATCTATAAAAATTAAACTACAGCTTCCTGATGATATTTATAATAGAAAGTGGATCTTATTTGCGGAAGAGCGAAATGGGCGGTGACTATTAGACGTCTTCATTATAGCCATCTTTCTCTATCGCACGGATTTCTATGACTTTCTTTGTCGCTCTCACGTAACTTCAGATAGACCATCGGTACTTTCCTACCCTATATATCAGAAAAGTCTAGATAAATAATTTACTCAAACTTCAGGTCATTAATAAAATATGAGCTAAATATTTGTTACTAGTTTCTAGTTTGTTTTAACATTCAGTTTAATGACAGAAGTGCAGCTTGGATCTAACTCCCTTTTATCCGCCCTGTTTACTTGTATTCTACCATTTTCTATTATTTATGTGTTCTGCGGAAGTATACTCCAGTTTTAAAGTTGTGTACGGGAGAAGTTGTATTCTTACTTTGATGGGATAGAAAAAAGTTAAAAACTTTTTACAGAAATAGTTACCTTCTGCCGAGAAAACGATTGCATCAATTTACAGTTTCTTTAGAGTTACAAAGATTACTTAAGGTCTGAACAACAAACAAATTAGGTACTTATTTTTTCTATAACATCTTTAAATTTAAATTACATCAGTAATATTATACTATTTGTAATAAGAAATTACCCAAAACAAGTAGTCGCAGTTTCAGCAGGTTATTGAGCCCTTTGACATTCTACAAATTCCTGAATCTCAAACTATTTGGAAGCCTTTCCTGATAAAAATGCCAGCAATCTGATTAAAATTGCCAGAGTCGACATTTATTCATCATTGTATATTATATTATTGACTTTCTGTAGATACAGTTGGTCTGCCGCAGATTGTTTAAATTATTGTTTTTGATGATAAATGTATTGTTAAAATTTGACACTTATTTCTGGGATACTTTGTATATCATTTTATGAATGAGTACAAAAATGAGTAAAATACACAAGTAAAATATCATTTTCGACTTTTGTTAGTGAAATCAAGCCTCTTAGTCTTTTATTAGACCCTATTTTAGACTTGATTATCAGTTTGGAAGTTTCATGGGGATTTTAAATTAATTTAGAACGAAGGGAGACATTAGACCTTGTTTTCATCATTCAGCTTGTCAGGAAAATAAAGTTTTTGTCAACTTAGTTTCCTTTTTTTAAGAAATAAAGGAAGTACAGGATAATGGGAACAAAGTTTAGGAATACCACTAGAAAATGTTAAATTTGATGCGAGTCATAAATATTTGCCTTAAAGTCTTCGATCGACGAAAGTGATTTAAGTTGAAGGGGAAAAATAAATTAAATATATATTAAGTTGGTATATTGCCGAAGTTTCTAATGAAAATTTAATTACCGAGAAGATTTAAATTGTACAGTTCGTTTCAGTTAGGTTTATTAAAAATGTATATCCACTTAATTGCTTTTCTGTGAAACAGGAAAAAATCAATCAATCAATCAAGTTTAAAAACACCATTTTATAAATCAATCTCTAAAAAACTCTTGTGACAGTTGTACAAGTAAGGGTGAAACATAAATATTAGAACAATTTCGATTTCCTCGTCACTATTCAAATAATTTAACAGTTTATTTATAACAGCTTTTGAATTATGCAAAAGTAACTATCCACCATTGACCGATAATGAACTACGGCAAAGTTTACTACAGTTTTGAACACGCATACTTAATATGTGATTACATAATTTGTTATTGTGTAGTAAGCAATCATTCATGCGAATCTGAAGTCGTTAACATTTGGGTCAAATTTAAACAAACACGTTACTAAAGCAGTTCAACCGATTTGTGTATGTAATTTTACGAAAATAGCACATCTATGGCACTGTCTCTTCAACCTCTTGAATATTTATCACAGTAGAAAGCAACTAAATAAAACCAACTGAACTGAATGATACTAACAAGACTGTAACAAAAATGACACTAAGAATCTTGGAACCAAAACTGATTGAGGGATTTCTTGTACATTTTTTCAAGTCTATATTAATCCTTGAATTAGGTAACCGAAGAAAAGTTTTTACAAGAAATAGATTTTATTAGGATTGTTTGTTACAATTAACGGTATCGATTGTAAAATATTGTGTAAAAAGTGTCTCATTTCTTGTATCAAAATAATGATTCTGCTTATTTAAAAGAAGCAGTAATCTTTAAAATCCGTTAGGAGTAAATAAATCGAAATAGAAAAACTGTTTACAAGAGATATATTTTACTAGTTCTGTAATTTGTTACAAATACCGGAATCGATTGTAAAGTGTCAATGTATAATTGTAACAATCTGTAAAAAGTGTCTGATTGTTTAGAAAGATTTGTTGCCATTCTATTTGAAAATTCTCATTCTTGAAAATCGGGGTCGCATTTCATCGGCAAACTGGTGCTTATTTTAATCTAATCCTCTCCCTTTGTTTCAGGCAATATCCGATCTACTCCTGGGGGTGTTTTGTATGCCTTTTACGTTGGTAGGCCAGGTGCTGAGGAACTTTATATTCGGATCGACCATGTGCAAATTAATTCCATATTTTCAAGGTAATTAACACCGTAAATTTATTGAGAGACCCACTTAATACCCTCGCACTAGTTCGCAATTGTTCTAACTGTACCTGTTTATCGCTTTCCAGTTAATTTTCCCCTAATTGACAAAATCCTGTGTACGTATGTTAATCGCTTTAAGAGTAGTAATATTGAGCGATTGCTAATGCGAATACGAGTGAAACACGTTTCTGATAGTTTGGAGTGCTTGGGATGTTATTAGAAACTAACTAAATACCATAGATTAATGTATTAAAGCTAAATAATCAGTATCAGATTATTAACAGATGAATCATCTCGTTAATAATAATTGCTTTTTGTCTCTTTATCTGGAAAATGCAGGCAGGAAATCTCCGGAAATGTCGTGTATCCTGTTTAAAACTATGACTCGAGGGCTCTATTTCTATGCCATTCCTTTCGCTGTTCCCTGCCCAATGTAGAGACTGCAAGCTCGTAATAAATGAAGAAAAACTGTGTAATTATTATTATATCGCGATTATGATTAGATTTAAAAAATCGGGGTCAAGAAAATAAGCATCATTTCTTTGCCAGAGCACATAAGTTTGGAGCATCAGCTTCTTGTACCTGCGGAAGGTAAACAAAACTTGACAAAATAATTTCTTTGGTGTCACGGTGACAAAATAAAGATGAATTTCCTGGCACACGATTTTGTAAGACAATAAATCCGTCAAAAGTCTAAAATTTGGTATATAATTTTTCAACGAACGCTTAGATTTTCAAATGCGTATAACTGCAACGGATGTAAATAATCTAAGGCCTGTTGTATTCCTGGATTCTGTTCATTCTTGAGGGGTTAAGTCCCAGAGAGAATAATTCTCATCCGGTATTACGGATATAATAAATGAACCCATTAGTTGGGATTCGAATCCGGAACTAAACACCAGCCCAGAATACTGGGGTCATGTTAATAAACGAAAAACCTCACTCAGCCGAACACCAGAACCACCGTAGAAATGAGCATTTCTTTTTAGGCGTTGCGTTCCATACATTTATGGGTTGCTTAGGTCCATTGTGCTGTAAGGATAATCCTCTTCGAGAAAATCAGTTCTTTCTTCCGTATAGGCGCTCTTTCAATCATTAAATCTGTTATATAAGACCTTAACCTAATTGCAGTAATTTTATATTATCGCTGCTTATAAACGATTGGAGATTAGAGTCGAAAGGTTGGCAAATTCATGCGTCTGGTAATCGATGAAACGAATTGGAAATTCAATTATTTTTAATGACGACGGAAGCCAGGGAAAATAAAATAGTTCATAGTGGGCGCAGAATTTTGTTAGTAGAAATAAAAATGAATGAAAATAAATTGAAAGAAGCTCAAATTAGAAAAGGAAAATGATACATTGTTTAAAATTCATGAAATAATCATCTCCTACCATTGCATAGGGGTCCGTACAAAAACAAGTGTTTTGTAAACGACCTCATACATAAAAATGTACAGAATTTAAATCGGATGAACGGGAAGGCCAAAACTAAGCCCATCACTGCCTATCCAACGATTTGGATGTGGTTCTACACAAAAATACATAAACGAAAGCTGGGTTCTGACATCTAGAGGTACCATTATTATATGTATTAATGGTAATACCAGTATAGTAGTAGTACCATTCTTCCAACTGGTAGAAGTTGTGGTCTCCAAGAATTCCAATACACACCTTCCGAGAAAAATGTTGTTGATGATGCAGTTTAGCTAAGGCTTGTGGATTTTTTCTGTCTATATGTGGTTATTATGATAATCTTCAAGGCAATTTAGTGCTGATGTGACCGTAACCATAAGTTTTTGAAGCCAAAATAAAAATAATTTATCTCATCTTTATATTTTAAACAAATGTGTTAGTATAGATTCATTTTCTGAACATCAAAAATTGTTTTCAAGAAAAATAACTCTTAGAAAATTACAGTTATGACATTACTAAGTATTTCGTGCAATATGTTGATCGATTCATTTTTTTTGTTTTGAATATCAAACAATGGAGAGGTTTTCTTTACACGAACCCCCCTAATTTTCAACCCCCTGTACATTCCATGTAATCCGGATATTTTATTTACGAAATGTCATTAATCCAGAATAAATATTCTGGATATCTGGAAAAAGGAACCGGCTAACGTATCCTGAAGTTCCGGTAATTAAAAAGCAATTATAGAAATTTATTGTGGTTGTTTGTCACATTAATCGTATACTAAACGCACAGCTGCTGGCAAAGTAATTCAATCGGAGCCGTGAGGTTCCAGTGGAATCGTTTTAAGGCATTATTAACGGAATGTTAGGTCCCGCACCAGTTGTACGAGAAAGGTAATTTCTATGGGACTTTCTGCCATATAACGCCTACGCCTTAATCAGGTTACTAGGCCTTCAAAGTCTGACAGAGCTTCCAAAAGGTAATTAATTTTGTAGGAAGTTATGTCCAGTTTTCTTCGTTGCGTTTTATCCGATAATCATATGAAAATTAATTCGTGAAGCTGCAAAAAGTATTTATAATACTGACTACGACTACTATTTTGTTTGTATTATTAATTGTAATGAAACAAAAACATCTGGCTGAAGTATGCGGTTTCCAAAGATAGGAGCATCAAAAATGAGATGAACACGATTTGGATCGAGTATTTTTTTCATAAGGAAACTGATATGTAGTGCGATACTGACAACAAACTTTAGATACGTCGCAAAGTTTTCCTACAAACACCAGAGTTCAAGGTCTTGCTGGAACGAATATACGTTTGTATAATAGGATTTGTTCCCTTTATTCGTCGTTCATGATATACTTGGGTAAAGATTTTTTTCATGAGCTCGTCGAGCTCGTAAATAAGTTCCTTATTTTATATATCATTTCATTGTGGGTGTCTGTAAGCTTCTCATGCAAAACAGAAGCCCACGTTTCCATTTTTATTATACTCAAAAATCAAATCAGATTCCGTGAAATTGTGTCGAGTTACGAAAAAAATGTATTGCGGTTCATAAATAAAACTGAGGAAATGGATTCAATAATTTTAATTAAAACAAAGAGAAAACATATTTTGCACGTACCATCAGTTTCATGTTTTTTGTCACAATACAGTTTATATTAAATTAAAAACAAATTTTGTTCTTTTTTATAATTAACTAATGGCAAAAACACAATGTAAATACAAAATTTTACACTTACTAATGCAAATACGCTTTATAAAATATTAAGTTATAATTTTAATAAGATTTTGCCCTAGTTTCTGCATCAAGGTATATTTTGAGTGTAACAAAGTAATTTCCACTTCATTTGGTAGCATTAAACTGAAAATATATTATAGTTTAAGTAAAACAATAAATAAAATAGGTGACTTAATAATTAACAAAATTGTTCCTATTTAGTTTATTAAAAAATATGAACAAATATAAAAACAAATTTTGATAAGGTAGCCATCTAACTTATCTATTTACATATAAAACAACGCCGCCAGCTTTTCGTTTGCCTCCACTTCTAACAATATATTTTAAAAACATAGTGAATGTTTTTATAAAACAGGTTTATCCATAAGGTGGTTAAGTAGGAAAAATTTTTTTCAAAGTCCGTACACCAAAAATAAGATCGAACAAAATTTCGAAAAACTTTTTTTCATGATATTCATTAAGATTGCGCGATACGTGTTACTTGAAAATTTTTTTCAAGTCCGTACACCAAAAATAAGATCGAAAAAAATTTCGAAAAATTTTTTTTCATGATATTCATTAAAATTGCGCGATACGTGTTACTGGAATTTTTTTTTGCAAGAATCAAAAATTAGAAACTTCAAGCTTCATATTGCTTTATTTTTTACTCCAATACGACCATTTTTATCAAAGATACAGCCATTTGAAAAATCGCCAAAAATTTAGATTTTTTTTGATCCCTTAATTTTTTCCACTAGTTTATTATTCCTAGCTTTCCAAAAATAATAACATAAAATCTAATTCTACACAACGTATTAATTCATTTTATATTTTTTATGTATGAGTACCACTGGAATCATGAAAAAATGTATCCAAACTTCCAGTTTCTATCAGTGTATTCAAACGTTCTCAACATCCTACGACTATTCGCAGCAAGTACAGTTTATTTTTTATCACAAGAATACCTCGACAGTTAATTCTCTTCATTGTAGCTTTTACAACGCGGTAAGCGGCTTCCGCGCGGTAGATTTCCTCTAGCAAAGGAATTTTACAGCCTGGAACCGTCGCCGACCGCCGCCGCCGACCGCAGCCGCAGGGGCGTCGCGACGTTAATTCCCTGCAAGCTGAGGGGAGTACATAACAGTGAACTGGAAATATAGTTGACAGAGTTCAGTGTGACCATTACAAGGTATAACCCTCTACTCGTAAATGGAATAATGTAAAGTTTATCGGTTGGTACTGCGGCTAAATTAATCTTATAGTAATTAATTGTGAAATAGGGTATCAGCACATAATTTATACGAATAAAGTTTATGCATGAACCCGTTTGTTTCAAAGGATTATTTAGAGAACTTCACCAAGTTTATGTCTGTGGATTTCGCTACGTTATTAATGACAGGCTTTGGATAATAGCGTCTTGGAGATTTATTTTTAATGGGAAATACTTAGGTGTTAATAAAAAGTAGATTGTTAAAATTATGAGAAGGGAGAAATATTACTATGCTGCACATTTACAGTAATCGCAAATAGGTGCATATGCTGTTGTATATAAAATGCTGCTGCTGCAGAAGAATGTACGTAAATCGTTTTCCGCTGCATGTCCTGCAAAATTTGTAATGTTCGTTAGCAGACCACGTGATAATGGTTGTGGTGTACCGAGTGAAAATACGACGCATTTTCGACTACAAATTTTTTTCTCTGATCAGGTAATAGAATCGTCGATATTAAATTCCTGTTTGCTATGCTTTTATGTTCTAAAATGTATATCACATTTATTAGGATGTGTACCAGCGTTATCTTACAGCCTATTAAATGTTAATTGCATTCTTGCCTTATTACCATTTTCATTTGACGA